ATTTTAAATTAAAAAATACTCTTATTCTAAGTAAAACATCCCTCCAACTGTTATTTTGTTCCGAAGCACGCAAAAATTACTTCTTGACTAAAAGTTTATTCCCTAACTAGAAATTGCATATTATTAATGGAATTCATAAAATTATCTCATTTTTCCTGATTGTGACAAACTACTTTTCATATCACTTCTGGTGAAGTAGCAGAAACACACCTTTTTTCTTGCAAAAAGTTACAGCTCCTGCTACCAGCCCTCCTCATACTGTAATCACTGCCCTGTCATGAACAGCTACAAGATCCTCAGAGAAGGTGGTTTCAGTGGACAAAGCAACCGGTGTTGTGCTCTGTTGTTAGAAGTAGATAAAATTCTGGTTTGTGTGCCTTTTTTTTTTGTTCTTCACAAGCGTATTTAAACAAGAACAGTATTTCAGAGCTAGAGTGATGAATGCCCACCCTGAACCACTCCTGGAGTTCCCCCTTCCCTCAGTTCTTCCACAGACACGCTCTGTGATGCTTGGATAGAAAATAATTTCAATATACAGTTCATGAGACTAGCTCCCCACTCACTGGGGGACAGAATGGACCTCTGCTGATAGGCACTGAGTACCTTGTCAGATCAAGAGCTCTGCAGAGAGTTCAAAGAGCCTCCTCCCTATTCTAAGGGAGCTTCCTATTTAAGTGAAGCTCTCCTCAATCAATTAATAAAGGTAAAATAATTACTGAGCACTGGATTAGGCATACCGAGTTCTCTGACTGAAGAAAAGCACTAAATTTTTCAATTGGAGAAAATTAACGGTTTAGAGATGCTATGTTTGGGGGCAAGGTCATGAACTGTTGCAAAATTGATGACACAAGCCTGGCTTGACAACAGTGAAAACAGAGTCCAAAAATTAAGGAAGTGGACAGATCATATGGAGCTAGTGGTGACCTGGAGCCACTAACATTGGACTCCAACAAGATGCCATTCATTAAGATTCCCAGGCCTTAAACAGGAACAAAAGGGATGTCTCTCAAGTGTATACCCTTAAGCAAAATATCGAAGGGCAATGTCCACTCAAGGGACATTGCCAACACAGATGGAACACAGTTCAAAGCAGGCACATTTAAGTGTTATCAGGTACGCAAGACTGGAACAAAAAGCAGAGAAAACATTTTCCAGAGTCTGGAAAGGAAAAAGGCCTGCAATCTAGTATCCAGGACTGAAGAAGGACCAGAAGGGGGGAGTGGTTGGGGGGGGGGGGAGAGAGGAGGGGTGAACAAAACAAAAAAAAAAAACAAACAAACAAACAAAACAACAAAAACAACCAACCAAAAAAGAACCCATTACTTTTTAACAAGAAATTTTACATTATTTCTTGCTCTTGACTAACAAAGCCAAAGCTCCTACAGACTTTGTTATTTCATTTTGTTATTTGTATCAATACAACTGGGTATGCTACAAATTTACAAATTGTCCCAACACTGCTCTGTATGGGCTCTGCACTTTCACCTTGGCAACAGTGTGTCTTGATTTCTTCCCTTCAAAATTCATCAGTTGTACCACCGTGTCATCTGGGTGAGATAGAAGTCCTCTGTCACTTAGAGCCAGTTACTTATCCAGACAACTTCACTTACTGACTTCAATCTGCACATTTAGTATACTGAAATTTCCTTATATTTATACAACACTACTTTTTAAACTGAAGTTATTATATGAGAAACTGGAAACTACAAACACATAACAGCTGCCAAAAATAAGAAACTAAGAATAGCAATAAAAATTAGGTTCTTCATCTCTTAAGGAACTCTTCTTGTTCCCACAGGTGACCATCTCCATTGCAAGAAACTTTCCTCAGAAAATCTGGTCTCCTACACTCAAAAACTTTTCCTTCAACCTGGAGCAAACAACCTCCTCAAAGCTGGCAAGCAGCAACTCTGGAAGCATGACCACCGGCGGTGCGATCCTTTGAAAGTTTTCAGGAGAAGATGAGACTGTAAACATACCCTTCCAGAGTGTGATACTATGGAAAACATTCTAGCAAGCTGTCTTTTCCCAGAAACTAAGGGTAGCTGTTTAACCCATACTACCATAATACTTAGCTGCTGGCTATCACTGGGGACCTCCCTAAACACCAGCAGGAATCTGTGCTCAAGCACTGATTTCCAGTTAGTCTAAAAAAAGTGTCTGCCCCAATCATTTTAATGGTGACTAAATTAGAAGATTATGGGGATATAGAAATATACTGGAGTTACAAAATTAAATAATTTAATATGAAAAAAAAAAAAAAAAAGGTGTTACTTACCAAGAAAAAAATTTCATAGTTTCATTTTATTTGGTTAAGTATCACTAAATTTGTAACATAGTAGTAATGTACTATACAGAAGTGTACTTAACTAAAGCAAAAGAAAAGATGTGGTATGACACAGGTGAGCACACTGCAACCCTGGAGTACAGATTTCACTACTGGGAAACTTTCCAAATACTACCAACTTAATAAAAAAAAAGAAAAAAAAAAATCCCCCAAACCACAACCAAAACACAAAACAGTTGCTGTTGAGATGAAGTATGAACAAACTTGAGCAGCTACAGACATGCATGTGACTTAGTATTACACTACCACAGATGGTTTTTCAAAATTCATTTTTAGATTAGGAGCTGTGACAAGCAATTTTTTTATTCTAAATAGTTTCCAGAACAACGCCTGACAAGTCATCTCTCAGATTTTTACTGAACTCTTGATCTCTTAATGCAAACGTACTTTGGATAATGCTGATCATGACTGGCCACTGACAATGAGCAGACCCCCTAAACACAGAACCCTTGACTTTTAATATATATATATATATATATATACACACACATATATATAAACTACATTACACTCAGATTCCATTTCCTCTCTTCCCAGAGTCTGTCACGTGCTCCCACCAACTCTATTCCCCCCCCCCCCTTGTACCATATATCCTCTTCTTCCTAAGCAGAACTGCAGAATTCCCCAACCCAGCTTCACAGGACCCTAGCCTTGTGTTTTATATGCCCCTCAGCCCAAATGACACCCCTTCCTTATCCCTCTGACCAGCTGGTTTCAGAGACCACATATATGATACACGTCAGCAAACAGACAAAAGAGGGGTGGTGGGGTGAGAGCCCCGGGCAGGGCCTCTGGCAGCTCCCATCCTTACATGGGTGTATTTGCAAGCGTTAATGTGGTGAAACCAGCATCAGAAACAGCCAAGAAGCATGAACGCAGAAAGGAGTAGCACAGGTTCCTGGTTTCCCACGTGGATTTTGACATCAGTACCCACAGCAGCTTTAAGAGAGCCATTCTCTGCCTTTGTTTCTCTTCCTCTTCTTTGGAGGGAGAGAAACCTCAGGGACTGTTGTGAAAAAAATACAGGCTATGTGTGACCCAAAGATTAGAAATGCAAAATAATTGGTTCTGGCAAGACAGGCCTAACTCTCTTATCTTATAGATCTTGCTGTCGCTGATAGGAAATCAATGCCAGCAGGGGAAGGAAGAGAGAAGCTTTGGTGGCTTATTAAAGAAGTTACATTATTACAGTTATCCTGAAAAGATGCAGAGTTAAGTCCTTCCCTGCCACATCAGTGTGACCCACATGAGGAAGCAGATGCTTGACTCTCTAATATGAGAAAATCTGTGCACCTGTATACATGTATTTATGAAGTAGAAACCACAAAAAAGCTGGCACTAAAAACTGCCTGCTTTATAAGGCCCGCCCTCCAATGGTATATTGTAAAAAGACGTATTTTGAGCCGAAGGACTGGACATAATTGGTGAAAGTTTTTTCAGTATTTTTGAAGACCAACAAATCAATAGCCACGTATTTCAGGCAGGTCAAAGCAAACTGTCTGGATAGAGCATGACAGGTGCAGCTTTCCTAATGGCTGGAGAAGCAGTCTCGAAATCGGAGGATCTGCTTCAATAGAGCCTGTTGCCTAACCTTCCCAAGATCGTATTTCATGCCACTTCACAAATAAAACACATAGTATTTGATTCACTTCCCACATTCACACCGATGTAAATCAGGATTATGGTGGAGTTATGTTTATAAACCTGTGTAGGAAAATTAAGCCTGATATGTGCCCCCAAGGAAGGGGCTGATTGAGTTTAGTGCTTATTTAAACTTGGCCAAGTCATTAAAACACCTCTGATGAGGTTTTCCTGCAAGCAAAATAAGGAATTTCCTTTACAATCTACTTTCATAATTCAGGATGTAAGATTATTCAAATTTATCATTATTTTGACATAATTCTTGGGGGGGATGAGGTAGCTTACGCTGGCAACAAGATATGTAAGGACTTCGGCCTCCAGAACAGGCTCCAGCCTGAACAGAAAAAGCTGAGAAATGTTGACAAAAAGTTCTCTGTGAAGCGAAAAAAATATGAATTGTCCTTTCCCCTCAAACACTATGAACAATCAGGCAGCCTCAATCTTGTCCTTAGCTGTCAGCAACAGGAATCTTAGCAAAGACAGGTAAGAGCAGAAATCTTTTTCTCCAGGAGCGTTTCTAGGGCAAAGCTAAGGTTCAGTGGCTGGAAACCTTACAGTGCTGCTGCTTTTCTAGAAAAAAAAATATTTCATTCAGAAATCTGTCAGTCTGGTACAGCTTATATAGGAAGCAATGTCATAACAAAGCCTGTATAAAATCTCCCTGTATTTAAGTAAAATTAATGGAAGCAAACAGCTTAAATACATTATTACCACACTGACGTAAATTACTAACCTGGAATTACCACACAGCTCAGGAAGCCCTTACTCCCGTGGAGCTTGATGCCACTAGTAACGTTAGTGAGATACAGCAAGGTATGCTCACTTACCAAAGCACAGCGCAACTACACCCAGTTACACCACAGCAAACAGTCTTACTTGCGCCTTGCAATGCTGGTCGTTATTCAGGCATGTTCCTCAGTACTGTTCAAGACAGTATTTCACGCAAAGAGAGGAGCTACGACAGCAACACTTCATCTACCCTTTTATATAACATAAACTTTTTTTTTAGTACCATGGTAGTTGCATGGGGACCATTCCAAGCACAGCCCGAGAAGCTTACGTCCTGGTATCCACAGAAACAGCTTGCTGGCCGTAAGGCAACACCAGGCAGATGCACTGTTGGGAAATTTTTCTCTTGGGTATCACCGGCGTGGCGGGTGGGACCCCGAGCGCTACAAGGCAAAGGGCTCCGCTGCAGGATGCGCCCGCCCAGCGCGCCCCGAGCAGCCCGCGCGTTCCCAAGAGGGCACGGCTCTGACTTCCAGGCCTGGTTACGATCGTGATGAACTTTCTCCCAGCAGAGAGACCCGAACACCGGCAAAATGCCACCTGAGCTAGGGTGTTTTAACAGCGGCGCCTCCCCGGGTCCCACCCCCGCCCCAACGGCAGCCCCTGGAGCCCTCACGCCGGGCCAAGGCCGTGCAAACCGCCCCGCTGCCCACCGCGTCGCGGGAGGGCACGCCGACATCCATTTCGGGAGTGGGAGAGCCCCGTCCCGCCGGCGAAAAGTTTCGGGCCGCGTCCGAAGTTTCGGGGGGCAGCTCCAGACGCGCAAGGCGAGGGTGACTGAACGCGGCGTTGAAAAACAACGCCGGCGGCCGCGCTGCGAGGTCCGCGCCGCCGAGCGGGCGAGGGAATGCCGGCCGCCCCTCGGCCCGCCGCCGCCGAGCCGACACCCAGCGCCCCCGAGGCCGGGCACCGCCGCCGGGCCGGGCCAAAGGACGAGGGGGCAAGTTCAGACCGTACCCAAGTACTTCCCGAGGTCTGAGGCAGGGGCAGGCCCGGCGCCGTCCCCGCCGAGCCCAGCCCCAGCGCACGGCCCGGCCCCGCCGGCCGCGGCCCGGCCTTGGCGCAACGGCAGCAGCCGGACTCGGGGGAGGGGGGGGGGGGGGGGGGCGGGGGGAGGGCGGGAGCCGCGGCGGGGGGCTCCCCCCGCGGGCCCCGGAGGCGGCGGCACTCGGGCGGCCCACCTGTGCCCCCCCCCCCCTCCCGCCTCCTCCGCCCCTCAGCGGGTGGCTGGAGGCAGGCGGGGGCCCCGGGGCGGATGGCGGGGTTGGTGGTGCCGCCGCCCCCCCGTCGGAGAGGAGCGGGCCGGCAGCGCCGTGGCGTAGGAGCCCGGCCGCGGTGGGGGGGGGCGGCGGAGCCCTCGCCCCGGGAGCCGCTGCGCCGGCGGGAGGAGACGGGACGGCGACTCGGACATCATGGCTGAAGCAGCCCCACCCCCCCCACCCCCACACACACACCCCCTCCCTCCTCCTCTCCCCTCCGGCCTGGCCCGGCGCGGCTCGCCCCCGTCCCGCGGCCTGCCCGCCCGTCGGCGGGGCGCAGGGCCGCCCCCGCGGGCCCGGTTACCTGCTTCCCGGGGACACTTTGGAGACGCCTCCAACATCGGCAAACACTAAAGAGAACTGACCCCGCCGCCGCGGCGGCCGCCGCCGGCCCCAACCACTCCGCCCCCCCCCCACACACACCTTCCCTCCCCTCGCCCTCCCGCCGCCGCCGCCCCGCCTCAGCGCCGCCCGCCACCTCCGCCCCCCCCCCCCCCCCCGTCCCCACCTCCCCCCCGCCTTGCCGCCGCCCCCCCTGCGCCCCGCCGCCCGCAGAGGGCTCCCGGCGCCGCGCCCGGGGCCTCGCTTCCCCCCCCGCTGCCGCCGCACGAATGGCCCCGTCCGCCTCCCCTGCCCGGCCCGGCCCGGCGGCGCGCAGCGCCCCTAGCGGCGGCGGGGGGGGGATCCGCGCCGCTCCGCTCCCCTCAGCGAGGCGGAGCCCGCCCGCCCGCCCGCCCGCCCTCAGCCCCGGCGGGGCCCGCGGCTCCTCGGGCTCCGCTTCCCCCGCGGGGCCGGAGCTTCCCCACACGGCGGGGCCGAGGCCCACGCGGTTCCCGCCAGGTGGGGAGAAAGCCGCGACACGGCCGCGGCCCCTTGGCGGCGTCGCCGCCGGTAGCTGGGTGCGCTGCGAGGAGCGCGGGGGGGCGGGATGTGGAAAGGGAAGGTATTTCATTTTGTAAACAGCCTTGCAAGGTTTTTACCTCTCCGTTTCTCAGGTTTCTGGCTGCTTCCTGAAAGCCGCTGTCTGCGCTGGAGGCACCAGTAGCGCTCGGTCCCGGGTTGGCTGCAAAACCTCCCTCCTCGCACGTTGCCAGGGCTCAGCTAGAGAAAGCCATAGCTCACTCGGGTTTTTTTGGTGTTTTGTTTTGGTTTTGGAATCCCTATTTGCGTGCCCTCCCAACCAACGCCAGTCCCCTTGTTCTGCCATCGTCAAATATTTACCTTGTTGCCATCTTTCAGCTTTGTGCATGTCCCCCACAGAAGCCAAAATGGGACAGAAGAAATACAGAAAGCCAAGCACTGCAAAGCCAGATTTGGAGATATGCAAAAGTGAGATTAAAGGCAAAAAAGGTTCTCGATGTCTTCCTTTAAATTCGAAATTAATAGAATAAAAGGAGGGGAAATCTCAGAAATTAATTTCTGGCCATCTTTAGCACTAAAAATAGAACATTCAAATTCTTTATCTCAAAGTAGTCAAAAGTTCATTGTTCATTTAAAAAAAAAATACAAAACACACACACACAAAAAAACACCAAACAAACAAACAAACAAAAAAAAATCTTCCCACTTTAGTCCACAATCCACTTCATACAGATTGTAAAAGTCTGCTTTCTCAATTGGCTTAAGTAATTACTTGCCATGTAAGACAAACCAGGAATTTTTAAATCCATGACAAAGCCAGGTAGAAGCATCATAACTTGAAGCAATGACTTTCCTACCTGATTTGCAAGACTGCAGTAGTAAAACTCTTCAAGCTTAGAACAAAACCAGACTGGGGGGAGGGAGCAAAGATTCCTGTATCTTTTTTACTAGGCAACTGGATTTTAATGATAGCTATGGGAGTTAGAACACGAGATACAGCAAATGTAATTTAAAAAACAATAGATCTTTAAAGTCAGGATCAGAATGAATCCAGAGTTCATATTCCCTCCAGTTATTCCATAGATTCATCTCTTTTTTTTTAAAATCATGATTTGAAACCAAGTGGTGGATTAGTATGAAAATGGAACAAAAAGGAAGAGATGTAGCCTGACAGGATGCCCAAGCGCTCATGACATAGACATGCTCTAATAGCACATAGCTCAGGTGAATTTCAGTAATTTACACACCAAATAGGTGTAATGACAGCAGCAGGGCGGTATTATGAGTACCTAAGTGATAGCAGGGTTTTATTCATACTAACAGAACATGAATATGACATTTACCCCTTGTTTAAACACACTTTGGAAACTCAGCATTTGCTAAGGCAGTTTTATACGTACCCTGTATTCAGCCATGGTAGCTTGCCATCCTCCCCTTCTCATTCCTCTGTTGTTTAGTTTTCTGTTTCTGAGATTCCTTGCCCCTTCATTTCATTTAAGAATTGAGCACAGAAGTACACAGTATAATACAATTTCTTATGTAATTCGGCAATGGAAAATAACACAAGTACTTTTCATAAGGCTACTACAAGGTTTTGCGTAAGCAAAGTTCATTCAGATGCTGAATCATGATGATGCCTATAAAAGTTTGTGGGTATGTTTTGTTTTTGTTTTTTTAAGTTTGTTGTTGGTTTTCTTTAAATTTATTTACATCAAATTTTACTTTTTAATTTACTTCCTGTTAGTAGTTTGAAGAATAACCCTGCAGTATAGCATATAGTTAGTACTGGTGTACCCAGCAGGAAAACACATTCAATGAATGTCAGCATAAGGTTACAAGGGAGGTTTTCTGAACTTTCTGCAATAGATAAGTGTAATTCCAACAGGCGTCTAAAATGTCCACTATGTGCTATTATTTCAATACGTAACATTTTTAGAATAATGCTATTGCTACACAGCTAAAAGCTTAGTTTAAAAACATATCTTGAAGGGTATCTATCAACTCTGAAGAGTTTCATATCTTAATACGCATTCTGTGCTGCAAACAGCATATAGCTGAAAGAAAACTAAACACAAAAGAACAAATTTTATCTGAAAACTTACCATATTTTAAACACAGAGATGATTTCCGGATCTAATTTTGTCCAGTAGAACAAAGGATCAAATATTTTACAATAATTTTAAGTCCATGATAGTGTTTTGCTTTTTATTACATTTCCTACATGATTAGAGCTTTACATATATGAACAATTAAGTTGCATTACTAGCCACTCTTTAGATTTACTGTACCTTTACGGGGTTTTTTTCTCCTGCTGTTGAGATATGGAATAAAGGCTAATCAGTACCTCCAATGAGAGTAGCTTAATAGATCCTAAAAACTTATTTTGAAAATAAGAGATGCATAGTTTATATATATTCATCCACTCTGCTGCATTAGTACACAATGGGAGTGTCATGACTTGCCCAACAATCTAGTTTCAGTAGGGAAGCTGTTAATAGGAGTGATTAATTCAGTATGTAGTTTGAAAACAAGAAAAAAAAAAGCCACACTAATGCCTAAATGCCTACACAAATGCCTAAGTGGGGGAAAGGGTACAGAGCAATTTCATTTGGTCTGTATACACAAGTACAGTACACTTGGCCTTATAATTTTTATCTCAGATTCAGAGAAAATAAATTGGCTCTTTCAAGCTGACTTGCAAAAAATTTAAAATATTTTAATTTTTACTGATAAATTCTATTATTATAATTGTAATTTTTTTAAAAAAAGTCCTCAAGAAATGACTTTCCACATCTCAATACACACTGGGGCAACAAAACTAAACAAACAGAACTAAAAAATTCCTAAGGGAAACGCACAGTGATGTATTTAACATGGAGGAGATTGACAGAACCACAGAAGCAGGAGCCGTCTTTTAATCAGTACATTAGAAACAGAAAGATTTGTTGGAAAGGATCTCTGAAGGTCATCTGCTCCACCATTCTCCCTGCCCCCTCGAAGCACGACCAACTTTAAAGCTGGATCCGACTTTGGAGTTAGCAGGTTGCTCGGTTTAGTTTTGACAGTTTACAAGGATAGAAATTTTACAACCTCTTCCAGCAATCTGTTCCAGAGTTTGATAAAGTTTTGTTTTAGCTGTAACACACTTGGATGATATTTTTATACTAAAGTTGAAAAAGTAATTAAGCTAATAGAGTGCTCAAACCAATAGGAAGTAGATAATGCATTACTTTAGTCATAGTCATTCAACTGAATGAAAGCC